GCCCCCAGCTGTGCCTACCACAGCATGGGTACTCAGTGAAGCGTACATTACTAAAGAGATGGGCACAATTTAATAGCTGAATGTGGAGTGAAGTCTGAGAAGGACTTGGGAAATGGGAATAATGAGAAACACTGGAATTGAAAACACAATTATTACTTGGCTAGATAAAGAGAGCCATAAAGATAAGATGGGTTTAAGTGGAGAGAGATTAGAACATTCATGAAGATAAGTTAACGGAATCTCTGTTTTTACTTATAAACACATTTTTTTTCTGGTTATAAATAACATTCAGTGTTCAAGTAGAGGTCAAAGAGATTATAGAATTTCCCTAATAGTTTATGAAGGAAATGGAATGTTATTCAAGTTTGATCACACTTTGCTGATTAAACTCTCTTAAAGGATAATAATGGAATAAACAAAAGCATAAATGAATCACTATGTTGTACACCTGAAACTAATACATGTTGTATGTCAATTATACCTTAAAAGAAAAAAAATGCATAAACATATTTTAAAAAATTCACATTTATGCTATACTAGAGGCCCAGTGCATGGGTTCGTGCACTGATGGGGTCCCTCAGTCTGGCCTGTATCCTCTTGCAATCTGGGTCCCCTCGGGGGATGTCAGACTACCAGCAATCCAGCATCCCCTCAGCGATGTAGTAGTGTGCAAAGTGGCAGGCAGCCAGGGAGGAGCCTGAACCCGGGCCGGGCACTGCGCCTCTCCCGCTCAGCCTGGCCCACTACACCTGTCCGCCACTGCTGCTTGGTGGTGCTGCCTTGGAGGCAGGGGAAGCTCCCACCCCAGCAGCTGCATTCACCAGCCATGAGCCTGGCATCTAGCGCCTGTCTGTCAGCTGAGCGGCACTTCCACTGTGGGAGCACACTGACCACCAGGGGACAGCTCCTGCATTGAGCGCCTGCCCTCTGGTGGTCAGTGCATGTCATAGCAACTGGTAGCCCAGTCAACTGGTTGTTTGGTCCCTTAGGCTTTTATATATATAGATACAATTTTTAAGAAGTAGAGTATCTGAAGAATGAGTGTGATAAGTATAGTGATAGAATTATCAAAGCATAAAAAGTAGTAGTTTGTACAGAAGAAAAAAGCAGTTTGCAAAACTATGTAATAAATCTCTCTTTTTAAAAAATATGTTTTTATTGTTTTCAGAGAGAAAGGGAGAGGGAGAAAGAGATAGAAACATCAATGATAAGAGAGAGTCATTGATCGGCTGCCTCCTGCACACCCCCCACTGGGGATCGAGCCCACAACCAGGACATGTCCCCTTGACCAGAATCAAACATGGGGCCCTTCATTCCACAGGCTGATGCTCTATCCACTGAGCCAAACCATCTAGGGCAGTGGTTCTCAACCTTCTGGCTCTTTAAATGCCGTTCCTCATGTTGTGACCCAACCATAAAATTATTTTTGTTGCTACTTCATAACTGTAATGTTGCTACTGTTATGAATCATAATGTAAATATCTGATATGCAGGATGATCTCAGGCGACCCCTGTGAAAAGGTCGTTCGACTGCCAAAGGGGTCGCGACCCACAGGTTGAGAACCGCTGATCTAGGGCACAATAAACCTCTTATAAAATTCCAAGTTTCTTGGCTAAGTGTATAAGGCCCCTTACAATGTGCCTCCCCCAATCCCATCCCTACCCATTGCACAACCCCATTTCTTTCCACTGTTTTCCTCACCTCCCTGAAGGTGCCATCCTTCCTCACCAGCCTTACATAATGTCTCTCCCCACCTGCCGCCCCTCAGCCTCTGCTCAGTGCCAGACCTTCCTGAGTCCTCCCTGGCTTCTCAGGTGTAGTTTCAGTCTGTGCTCTGGCAGTTAACCACTAATTCTTCCCTCTGTCTCTGCCACACAAAACAGCGTGTCCTGGAAAGTAGAAGTAATGTTATGGTGTGCTTATATTTTTACCACCTAACACCATTCCTGTTATAGAGTATGTGTTGAATGAATACATTAACGCTAAGTGAGATTTCAGGAACTTTTAGAATAAAAAATAATCTAATTGAGAAAATACAATTTTTTGTGTGATTTGCATGTACTAGTACATGTGTTGCATTCATTGTGGGAGAGGTAATCTAGGGGGGAAAAAAGATGTAAGAGGAAGAAAATAGGCCCTAGTAAATAGCTGAAGCCTCAAATCAGAGGGCAGGCCTGAGCCACAATATAAATCTCCCTCAGTGATAGCCCAAGAAGATATACAACAGAGCGTTCACTAATCAACATTTTCTAGGTGTATGAAAGATCCATTTTGAGTTCAGGCCTACAAGTTCAATACCTTTTCCCTCAATAACCATCGCAAGCAGGAGTTATTTAACTTCATGAATTATAAAATGACAAGAAACATTTCTGTATTGGTTGTGGATTCAATGCCACAACAGGTTCAAAAGTTCAGAAGCAGCTAATACCCAAATTTATCATAGTAAAGGTTACTACATGAACAGCATTTTTAAATAATACATACTTTAAATTATTGAAGGTAAGCATCAACAGGTAAGAACATGGTCTTTTTAAAGTAGCCTCTTGTTTCCTAAAATGCTTCAGCACTTTTCAAATATCCTCAGAGCAATAAATAATACAACTACATACACTTTAATATTAGCAGCTAGCTGTTTGGTATGTCTTATTGTAAATAGATGTTTTAGGTTTTATTTCCTTCAAATAGAATCATTATAGTGGAACACTTATTGAATGTTTATTCTGTGCCCGGTACTACAAAAAAAAACATTTTATAACTAACAACTCATTTAAAAATCCTATAAAGTGATTTCTACTCTCAACCCCATTGTACAGATGAGAAAAATTATAGATGAGAGACCTTCAGAAACATCCATTCCTATTATTTTCCCAAAGGTTTGCTTATTCTGTTTCCTTTACCTGTAAGGTCTCTTCTCAGTCTATTACTCTGTTCTATTCTGTCTTCAAGACCAATTTAAATCTCTTTCATGCACTTTCCTACAATCTTCCTTAAGTTTTCCAGCAATGATCTGGCAATTAGTCA